CATCCCGAAAAGTACGTCTCTATTCGGGTGGAGCACTTTCACGTCTTCTCACAATACATCCGAAGCCAGAACCGATTGCGGCTGAATTGATCAAATTATTGGCGAATTCAGATGATGCCTCATTATTGTTAGTAACTGATTATTTGTTAATTGGATTTTGCAAGTGTGCTTCACGAATGATAGAGTTTGTTTGCGTTGCAGGGAAACGACACTGGTGAGTTTGCGAGCAGTGGTGTATCGAGCGTATGCGAAACTTTCCGAGGGCACTCTCAACTCGATAGTGCAGGTGGCCGAGAAGAACTGCGGTGAGGATGTCGACGATGCGACGTTGCTGGCTGCGGCAGCACTGTACGGCGAGACTGTTTTGAGACTCAACGCATTCACGCCTGAATTCTTAACTCGTGAGTTTTGCAAGCATCACATTCTGAAGTATTTGTTCTTGAATCAGTGAGCCTGAACAAGAAATGCTATTTGTCAAAGAACATTATTAAATTAGGGGTCAAAATTCATTTTTGTACGATATATTTCCGAAATTTTACATTGTTAGTCAGTTTCATTTAAGCTTTTATTCGGAACCATATTTTCGTCAACTATCACGCTGACGAATGATATCCATTGTCCGGACTTACGATATGATTTCTTTATTCGTTTCGAGAATATTCTCACGAGTACAGGCTGTAGCCATCTTTAATAGGCTCATATCTGAGGGGTTCAGGGCTTAGAGTAGAAAAAAATACGGTGTCTTGTAGTCCTCACATCATTGCTTATCCAATGAAGTAAATGAAGAGCCAAACAAAAAATACGATCGTCTGGATTGCAGAGATCGAAAGCGGTGGAATGAACGTACGTCAACAACACGCTCGTATTGTAGCACTGCAGCATATGTGTACTGTGGATTGTGATGCAGTGTTGAATGCGTACGGTATTGACAAGTTGCGATCGGCCATTTCATCAGCAATACAATCCGACAAAGCGTTCATCGCTTGTGCTGGTGTGAGAACAGCCACAGAACTGCTGAAAAGGTCATTCATTGCCTTATAATGTTTCATCTTTTTGAAATTGTAATTCTATCTGAAACGTTTTTACATTTGAGGAATTTCTTGATTGTGATTTGTAAATCATATTGTTTGGTATGTGTTTAAGTCAGTTCAGCTCATTCATCGAAACGTTTC